CAGGATACACCATTATCAAATAAAATCCAAACACGCTGGTGAGTTCACATGAACTGTTATTTCCTTTAATAATGCAAAGGTGTAAACTTCATCAAGGCCTTGCTGATTATCTGCACAACAATGTTAGCATTCTTATTAGTAGAAAAACGTGATCCAAACCTGCCATATAAATACTCCAAAAATGAGAGAAGCCCTGCAGCGTGTGGAGGATGGGCAGCGCTGAGCCGGGGCGGGGGTGGCTGAGCGGGGTGGCGAGCGCGCCCTCCTGTGGAGGGAGCCGTCTCAGGGGCTGGGGGCCGCGGCCACCGTGAGAGAACTCAGCTTCTGGTGGGGTGGGTGTGCCCAAATGCTGCCCCTCGAAGGGCATTCCTTACAAACCATGGACCTGTCTGAATGGGCCCAGTGCAAGGATCCCGGAGTTGCTTCAGCTGGGGTCTGCCTGGCCCAGATGAGCTGAGGGGACAGGATCACGGACGTCAGGCTTGCCCACACTTTGGGCCAGATCCCTGCAGTCCCTTCAGAAACACTGGCTCAGGCCCTCACCTACAGGGCTGGGATGGGCCCTCCTGGGCGAATATGTGACTTCCGCCCAAGGGGATATCAAGAGCGGGAGCCAGTGACGGGCCACTGTGTGAGGATCACCTCATCCTCCTTTGCCCTCCGGATGGCGCTGGATTCTACGCTGGGCCTGGAGGCACGCGGGCCTCTTTGCAATCCTCTCCTTGTGCCTAAGAGCCGTGTCTGCTCCTGCTGCCCCGGTGGGACTGGAGGTGGAGGACCCCAGGGGAGAGGTTTGTGGCGGGGCTGCAGGCCGACGGGGCTGGGGTGAGAGGCGCTGCCCGGCCTCGCCGACGGGCAGTGTGGGGCCTCCGGTGTCTGCACGTGACCCTCTAAACTGCCAGCGCCAAGGACACAGGCCTGTTTGAACCCAGCGACTCGGGCAGCGTCGCCCCGAAGATCATAGGCTCACAGTTGGCTTCCCAAAGGGAAAGGCTAGTCTTCGAACGTTAAAAAACCACAACAGAACTGAAAAATAAAGGAACCAAACGGAACAAAAACCAAACTTCTGTGAAGATGCTCAGAGATGAGATACGTGGAATGGTATGTGACCACGAGAAGGACCCCCGAGCACAGACACGGACGCTACGACTGGACAGGCGTCTCCACGGGGACTGTAGCAAACACTCCCCACTTTCTCTCGTGGGCGTGCGGGGGATGGGGTATGCCCCCAACAACAGGAGCAGCTGGCTCCTACCAAAATTTGAAACATGTCACTGAAGCCACTGACCGATGGGGTGGTGGTGGGGTGGGCTTAGGGACACTCTGGAAATGGGACAGGCTTGCTGAGTTCTGATTCACTGACGCTCAGGGCTGGCCCCGCCTTCAGCTCTGCTGAGCGTGTGTGGGGAGGGGGTTCGACTCAGGCCAGGCTCGCAGCGGATGCTTCCGACGTGGGGGAACTGATGCTTAGGCAGTAGGGTGGGTCACAGCTGGACCACATCCGCCGAGACATGAGGTCCGTGGCTGATCTTTAGCTGGGCAGCAGGAGTCACCCCAAATGGGAGACACGACCTTCCAGAGCCCACAGGTGTTGGGCACATCCTAAACAGCATCAGGTGCTGGTTATAATACCAGGACCAAAGCGCCTCCCAGAATGGTGGATCAGCCCCAGAAAATACCTGATTAAATCAGAGTTCGTCCACTGCCTGGGCAACAGGGTGACTGAACTGTGCTCATCTGATCAGCAAAATGCTCCGGTGGATTGCAGTGGGCTTACCATGGGCACTAGATGTAAGCAAAGCCAACTATTTACTGAAGGGCAGAGGAGGCGCACGGGGTTAGAGTGGGCACGCGGGGTGGTCTTAACTGTCTGACGCAAGCTCTAGAGGGTACTTGGAAACCTTGCTCTGCTACATCATCTTCAGGTAAGGACCAGAAATGCGACCAGTAGCAGACGTGTAAAGACTTGTCTGTAAGTGTTTACGGACAAGGTTTTTACGTGTAAAAACCTAGCGTAATGGTTTTTATATATACAGGGTCTAAAGAAAAGAGCTCGCAACATTTTTATACTCTATGAAAAAAGGGGCAAACTCCGTATGAAGTGGCGCAAACGTATCTGTGGGTGGGAATAATACGTCTGGAGGTCCAGCTTGTTTTCAACTGCCAAACCTTCCTCTTCCACAGAGGGCTTGTTGGCGTGGCCATGGCAGTCCTGACAGATTCTTCCAAAGCGGGGCAGTGGCGGGGGGAGGCACTGATCATTCTCATAGGAACTGGGCTTTTTAAGCAAATTTGGATTTTTGTGTGTGTGTGTTCAAGTTCCTAACAGAGCAAGAGAAGAGTCGCCGCAGAGAAAAGCAATGAGACAAAGGTGTAGGATGCGGAGGAGCCTCCCAAGGTCGCTGCAGGTGCCAAGCAATGGGTCCCCAGAGAGAATGTGGTTGTTTAAAAACAAATGTGGCAGTGGGGATGTCCCAGTGACGTCCAAGGTGGTATGTGCGACGACAGACACAGGAAGGGAGCGGGGAGGAGGAAAGAGGAGGGAGAGACAGAAACAGAGAAAAAAAAATAGATAAAAAGAAAAAAAAATTAGGTCAAATACAGAGAATGCAAGAATCCAAGGTTAATTCAACTTTGTAAATTAAGCTGATAAAGGTTAGAGGACTGAGTTCAGTGCGGTATTATCACCGTAAGGCCAGTTCCGCAGCTCAGCAAGGCCACAAGCAGCACAGCAGGGTGAATTCGGGGGTTAGGGGTCAGCGAGCAAATGAAATTCAAGTGAGAGAACAGAAGCCTCCACGGTCAAGGAGAGGAGTCTGATTAGGAAAGCGTCACCTTTGATAAGGGAGGTCTCTAAGGTACAGTCAGGAGCCTTCGGGTCTAGAGCTTTTGACACGTGGGGACAGAGATGTATCTGATCACTGTACTATGGGAAACAAACTAAACACAGGGGCGGGGCTGACTTCTCAGCAAAACAGCGGCCTCTTCTTCCTGCGGCACAAACCCACCCCACGCCTGGCAGTCTTAAAGGGGACCTGGTTCTGCGCCTCTCACCTCCAGCGCCCGCTGGCCACACAATTCCACCATCAACGTACATCTCGTAATTCAGAGGTTTTATCCGCAGGTCCCAGAGAAGTCTTAACCAGGAAAGCTCTTGCTAAGACCTGTGCAGGAGAGCCTGGGGCCCTGGTGGGCGAGGTGAGCAGTCCCTCCTCTCCTTTAACAGGGCACCTGGGAGATTAGCCAGAAGGGCTCTGACCACGCCATGGACAGGACTCAGGGGGAACTGGTCTCCCCAGAATTTCTGTATCTGAAACACAGTGGCCCCAACTTCTCCAACCCCAGGAGCTGATGCCGCTGGCAGTACCCCATCTGGGGACCCACCCAGCATGTCGGACTCACCGCCTATGGAGTCTTACCCGAGGAAATAGATGCCAGCAGGACTCTCTTTCACTGCAAAGGAATCACTTGGGCTTCTCACTCCCCCAGCTCCTAAGTGCCCCATAAGAGCCGAGCGGATCTGGACATGCCCACCAGACTGTTGATATCAGGGAAAAACTGACCCAAGAATGCAGAGACAGAAAGGGCAGAGGACAGACAGGGCACCTCCGTTCGGACAGCCTGCGAAGCAGTGAGGAGAACCATCGCTTGCAGTCACACCCAGATGCGGCGGCATCATCACAGACCACGTGACCAGTGCCTGCAGAGACACGCCCGCCCTAGCCTGTGCTGAGGGGTCTCCCTGCCAACACGGAGGGGAGGACCATGGACGCTTCTCATCTACGGCCTAACTCCCTGGGGGCCTGCACACGTCTCTCAGACACACACACACACACACACACACACACACATGTACAACCAACCATCGGGGAATCACACACTGATCTCATTTTTCAGCTGCTCAACTAACCCACTGCCACACACACAGCCCTTTGTCACTACTGTGACATGTCCCTTCTGGCGTCTCTCCCACTGGGATAAGCGATCATGACCACTGAGCTGAGAGCTAGGGGGCAAGCACTCTGGACAGGACAGACATGACGACGGCCAAATGAAGGCCACCGGGAGGTTGGGGCATCTTCCTATCAAACTTGGATGCTGCAGAGAGTTTTTGGGGCTCCCTCTACTAAGCTGCAGCTGTGTGTTCTATGCCCACCTCTCCTGCCTGTGGTCAGTATGTGGCTGGTCAGGAAAGCAGAGAGGGACGATGAAGATCTCTTTCTGCTCCGTAGTATTTGGTCAATGAGGAGTCTGGCCATCAGCAGCAAGGTAGCTGGGCCAGAAAGCACAACTCTCACTTTATTCCCGCACTTGAGTTGGTCCCGGATCCCTAGAGATGGATCTGTATCTCCTGGGAGAGATGCATCTCCCATCCTGGTCTCTAGCAGACTGGACTGCCTTTCACAGATGGGGGTTTCCAGCATCTACGTTCTCCACTTGATCTGTTTCAAGTGGCTCCATTTAATCTTTGTGTCAATTGTGAGGCCCTTGGCAGAGAGGATTTTTAACTAACTGGGCACCATCTGTTCCTTCTCTTGGGCTCCCCATAGAAAGGAGACTCTGGACCACGGTGGTGCAGGTAAGCAAGCATCAGACAGAAAGCGCTTAAAAACAGGTTCGTGGTCCTTGTATGAAATGGTAGATAGCAGATAAGGTCTCAGAAAAGGATTCTTCCTCAAACAGCATCCAAAGCTTGGCTGGAGCTGGGGCCTTTCCCACCCGAGGGGTTCCCACGGACTGGCTTACCATCAGTCCTCCAAGGCTGATGGAGGACACAGGACCTTCGCCCAGGATGCTTGCCCAAGCCTTCCTGGGGGTCCAGTCCAGCTCAACCTACTGCATAGCTCGGTACAAAGCAAAACTAAGCTCTGCATGGGCAACCAATCATGAGGATGGCTGTAAGCAAGCGAGTTGTCAGGGGCTATTCAGGCACATTAGGAGGTGCGGTGCTTGTGCATTAATTCGAAGCAGGAAACTCACAGAAAGCAGAGCTGTCATACCTGGGATGGCTGTGGGCTGGGCTGAGGTCCTGAACACGAAGTGCGCCGCCTTGGACTTGCCCTGCTGGTTCTCGGCCACCACATAGACCTCGTACTCGGCATTCCAGTCCAGGGACTTGAGCATGACGTGGTCACTGCCAGATGGGAGCCTGATCTCTGGTTTCCACTCGGAGGAGAGCTTCTGGGAGAAACCGGCAAGAAAGATACAAGACACCAGAAAGCTTTAGGTGAAACAGCTGGTGAAACCAGCCAACAGGAGGAATGTAAGGGAGTCACTAAATATTGGGGCAAAATAAATAAAATAAAAACCAGTGGTAGGGCATAGTTTTTATTCTTTAGCAGCTTGAAAAACCTGAAAGTAAATGATCCTGCAGGTCAGAAGGTCAACTTTGGGGGCTTGCAAATAAAAACAGTGGCAGAGTGCCAGTGTGGCATGGGGCCAACCCTTCGATGCCCTGTCTGTTACCTGCAGGGACCCAGGCTACAGTCTGGAATGGTGGGCACATGTCCTAAGGATGCATGTGTGCTCAGCCACTCAGTTGTGTCTGACTCTTTGTGACCCTATGGAACCTCCCAGGCTCCTCTGTCCATGGGATTCTCCAGGCGAGAATACTGGAGTGGGTTGCCATTTCCTACTCCAGGGGATCTTCCTGACCCAGGGATCGAACCTGAGGTTCTTAGGCCTCCTCCACTGGCGGGCGGGAAGCCCCATCCTAAGGGTGACCTAGAGGATAATCTGACAACTGTGATTCTTGTCCTGTTTTAGAATGTGGTTCACACTCAGGTGTGTGCTCACCTCCCTGACATGGGAACATGGCACAGATTCCACTTTTATGAAAAGCATTAAAAACTATCAGTTATGGAGCACCCGCTGCATACCAGGGCCTGGACTGAAGGCTTTCTACACATTTTCTCACTGCATCCCTACAACAAACGTGCGAGGGCTTTGGCCAGGTCCTTACTAAAGCTGATGATGGGGAAGACGGAGAGAGAACAGGTGACTTCCCAAAGCCACAGAGGCAATCGAGCTGCAGGCAAGTGCCTCTGGGCCCAAGTGGGGATGTATCCTCTCACAGGAGGGAGCGGGACACACACACGCTGCGGGGAACAGGGTGTCTCTATTCCGTGCAGTGTGACCTGGCCTCTGAGACTGCAGCTGGAGGCATTGCAGGTGTTGCTGGGGTGTGGCTGTCAGGTCCAAGGCAGGGGCACCTGCAGAGGCCAGCAGAACCCTCCCAGGACACAATTTCCGGCACAAAGCTGGAGTTAGAGGGGACCCCCTTTTCGCGAACGTTCTTTCCAGTCTTATCCTACACATCTGCCAGTGAATTTGTTTTGGGTGGGAGGGCTTGACACATGTCTACTGGATGATGGGCTGCTCCTGAGAAGAGCAGAACATGCTAGCAGTGTCCTCTGGAAGGTGAGCTAGCCTTTGGCTGAGGCTGGAGGAAGTTACATCACAGGAAAGCCAGCCATCTTCCAGGCAAAATGCTTTGTACCAGCCACAGAGATGCCTTTAGGGTCATGTTAGCACACGCGTCATGGCCACGATAGTGTAGGGAAGATGCTGGAAGTGGGGCTCACAACCTCTGAGTCTAACAGAAAGCCAGGTTACCTGCCTAGGGCTCTAAGTTAGTTCCTGAGAGAGTGATCACGTGCCCCATTTTAATGTAAAAACAAAGAAATTCAGCTGTTTGTCTTTTGTCCTCTTTCTCTGAAAGGCTTCTTTCCTTGGCTAACATCATTGCAAAAGAGATAGCCAGAATATAAAGCAAAGATTATGTTACATAATATATATTAATAATGTATAATAATTAAAATACTTAGCAACAATTGGGATTTTGAGGTGAAAGAGAGAGGATGGTTAAGGTCAAAGCCTAACACATCCCAGTGTTTTGCCCCAGCTGTCTTTTTAAAGCAGACCTGCCCGGTACTGCCAAAATGACTCTTCTGGACCATTGACATCTGATGGGACCTTGTATGGAAGTATTTCCTGACCCAGCCTGCATGGTAGCAGTGGCTATTACAGTTACCAGGTATAGAGTTTTCCCAGTGTCAGGCATGTTTCAGGTTCTTTGCTTGCACTCTAACCAAGCTTTACAACAACTCGATAAGCTATCCCCATTTTACCAATGGAGAAATGGAGGTGATGGACCATTGGGTGACCAACTTGGGTCACAGGCTACTAAGTGATAAGGCTGGAATTGGATTCCTTGTCTGTCTGGGCCACATCAGTCCAAGTGCCAGAGGCATCCCCCCACCACACTGTCTCCTTCCAGCGGTTTCCATGGAGCCACCTGCTCAGTCCTTGTATCCTATTCCACATTGAGGACATCACAGGGACCTCTCAGCCAGTGATGCCTCCTCTGGGCCGGGCCTTACAGAAGTCAACTGAGGCTCCTCCCCCAGGTCAGGCTCCAACCCGGCCTTGCAATAAAGTCAGAGGGGGCTGAGTGACTGACAGGCAGCCCAGCGGCTGGGACGTGTTCCCAGGGTGCGTGTGTGTTGGGGGGGTGGTGGGGGCTCTGTGCTGCACTGACTCTCTGCAAACCTAACCAGGTTAGGGTTCCCATGGTGCTTCCGTGGGGGCTGATCAAAAGGCAGAGAGCGAGTTAAGTCAAACTTTTTGGAAAAAGCCTTTCTTGGGTGCTATTTGAAGAAAGAAAACCCCGCTCAGGTTATTTTCTACTGTCAAGAAATCCTAGCAAAAGGCTGTTTGCAATGCTCAGATGCTGTCTCTAAATCTCCCAGCAATCGGTTGTGGTTGGCAATGGTCAAGCCTCATTCTAAGACCAAAAAAAAAGAGGGGGTGATTTTCAGTTTGGGCGTTGGAGATGAAAGGTGGAATGTCAGAAATCTCTGATGGGCAGTGGGAGAACCAGGAAGAGAAAAGGCTAGGGCCAAGCTCATGGGTAGCGGCATGACCACAGGTAGGGTGGGCTACACTAGTGTGGAGGGAAAGTGAGGGAAGGAGACGGTTCAGGAGCTGAGGCAGCCTGGGCCAGGGGGCTTAGACCCCCGTCTCTTCAGTCAGACAGACCTAGATTCAAACCCTGGCTGCCTGACTGTGTGAGACATGCGGTCACTAACTGCATAAACCTCACTCACTTTCTCTGTAAAGTGAGGATAACTGCTGAGATCAACTTTATACGGTTCTTGGGGGGAGAAAATGCATGTGATCATGGGCCCGCATGCCTGGCCCATAACACATTTTATCCAAGTGTGATCCAAGGTTATCAGTATGCTATTTGCAAAAAAGTACTGAATGATGGAAAAATAATTTCGTAGGAAAACCTAGGAAGCATAAAAATTCAGTCATGGGTGGGTTTATCATTACCAAAATCATTGCAGAGGTTTTATAATGGTCTCAGTGTGTTTGTCCACTCTATATATAGCACGTGTGTGCATGCATGCTCAGTCATGTCCCACTCTTTGCGACCCCAATGGACTGTGGTCTGCCAGGCTCCTTTGTCCATGGAATTTTCCAGGCAAGAATCCTGGAGCAGGTTGCCATTTCCTCCTCCAGGAGATGTTCCCAAGCCAAGGGTTGAACCACCCCTGTTTCCTGTGCATCTCCTGCATTGCAGGCTGATTGTTTACTGCTGAGCCATGGGGAAAGCCCCATATAGAGCACAGTGAACTATATTCAATACCATACGATAAACCATATGGAAAAGAATATAAAAAAGGAATGTATACATGTATAACTGAATCACTGTGCTGTACAGAAATAATTAACACAACATTGTAAATCAACTATACATCATTAAAAAAAAAATAGAGAATTGAAAAAAAAAATAAATGGTCTCAGTGTGGCTATGACCTAAAGGCTCTAGGTCAGTCTTGGGATTTAAAACCCACCAGGCACATGGGCTGCCCTGCCCCCTTGCTCTAAAGACACTGTTGGTCCAACAGGGCGGGTGTTAGGGTTGTGGGGCTGCAGGAAACCCGGGAAGGAGGCTGCTCACCGCTCGGTATTTGACCAGGTAGTGTCGGATGGGGGAGCCGCCGTCGTCTTGCTTGATCAGCTTCACCTTAATAGAGTTTCCATCCTCTCCCATCTGCCCTTCGAGCTTAGGTGCGCTGGGTTCCCCTGAAACAGCCAGGGAATTCACATGACATTTTCATCCACAAAATGAAAATCCAATCCATCAAAATGAGATGCAGTGATGGAGTGGGGCTGGACTCTTGATTTCTCAGCAATTCAGATGGTTAAAAAGCAAAACATGTAAAACTTTGAATTCCAGTTAGATGCCTCAGTCTTAACCCAAACTGAGAATGCCTTTCGGAAATGTTCTGGGAAACCACCCTCCCTCCTAGTATAGTCCTTTCACCATTTTAAAGAGAGGATTTTTTTTTTTTTGGTCTGTCACTTCCTGGTGCTTGCATATTCTGTTAGCTGCTCTTACAACTGCAGATTTAACTTTTATAAACCTGGTACATTTTGAGGAACAGCCTGAAATATGGGAAAATGTAGGCATTTAAGGAGAAAACTGACACCCATAAAATAATTTTTCAAAGCAGTTTTTTTTTTTCTCCCCTGGGATATATGATCCATTCCAGGGGTCTAATTCCTAACAGGAGTGGAATGATGCTGCATTCTTGTGACCAGCTTTTGTATGAATTAAATTTTATGACTGAGATTCATTAAAAAAAATAACAGGTTTCCAGTTGTGATTAAGTAAAGCATGATTTGCCATAGGCAAGTTTCCTGTAAGTATTCTGCATTTATGGCTCAACTGCCTTGGTGATAATCCTTGGTGCCTTGTATTAACGGAACAATCATTAAAGTCTTTCTGTGAGAAGAGAGAGGGAAAAAAATGTCTTCAGCATTTCTCAACAGAAAAAAGTTAATGTTTCTCTATTTTTTTTGCAGTAACACTGCAAATCCGAGGTTGAGAATAAAGATGAGCTTGTATGTGACCAATTCTGAGGTAGGATGGTTCTCCTGTAAGATGCTAATTTATTTTAAGAGAAACTATTTCATTAGTGTATGTTGAAAGCCATGAGATGACAGAACATCTGTTATAAAAAGTTAAAAAGAAGATTTCAAACACTTGGAACCCTGGCACTTCTGGTGGAAACCATCTCTTGTATCTCTTTCATGACCTCAGACAGAAGATTTGCAGAGCCTATAAAACAGTTACTTTCTGGGTGGGTGGTCCTGGCTTGTTCTCTGGAAGACAGAATCTCAGACATGGGACAGAAGAGCCAGGGGAGGCCTGTCACCAGGCTTTGGACCTCATCACCCACAAGTATGTTGCTTGGTAAGGCCACCCCACCCACCCAACTCACTCAGTTACGCTGGGAACCTCATGATGGCCGAGGGGGCTGCTTTTCCCTTTGAGACCAGGAGGAACCAGAGACAAAACTGACGAGAGCCCCCTGCCACTCGGTCTGGAAAGGCCCCTGCACACCTCCTGGAAGCTCAATTAACAGGATTGCAAGGTGCACCTCTACTAGACATGGGGCTACAAAAAGTGGCAACAGGGAGGCTGTGTAGTCTTAATGTCTGTGGGATAAAGTATTTACAAAAAGTTGTGCTTCTGATTCGCTTCCTTTAATCAGTGACCAAGGAAAAAGAAAAACAAAAAGATAAATGGGCTTCAGAGAGACTTGTTCTGTTTTTACACCACTGTCTAGCCACCAGCACCAATTATTCAGTGGAAAATACTTAGAAATTCTGTTTGGATAATGTCCAGGTGTCCATGCTTTTCAAATACTTTTGGACCATTATACATCTTAGACAATAATTAATTATGCCTTATGCCCCATCATACATATCCAGTGCTAAAAAAGAGACTCTAAGAGGAGTATATTTTAGAGTAGGGATGGAAGTCTGTGTAGATTCACCAATGCTGAACAATGACGTAGGAGATGCGGAAGAACATTAGAAATTCTACTTTCTCACTGAATCCACTGCATCCTGGTTAGCTTGTGACTTTCCAGGCGCTAGCACTGCAAGTCCTTTCCCCTGGACAAACCCTTAGTCTCAGGCGACATGGGATGTTGGTGACCCTGGACTGAATGAAGACTTACATTAATCATAATATCTTTCTGGGTTCAGAATTGCAACACTGACTCTGTGGTTAATGATCTCTTTGCCTGAAGAAGGAGAGGAGGAGGTGGCATCAGCGGCCCTTCCAACACACCCTCCAGGCAAGGACCTGTCTCTCCCCCGAGATCTCCCAGGAAGGGAAAGAGAGATTATTCCATTGGGGCTGCTCCATGCCCTGAAGATCCCTTTAGAACGGAATGCTATGGAGGCCACAGTCGAGCCCAGGGGGTTTATGGCCTTGGCCAGCTCACCACCTCAGTCTCCAGGTTTGCAAAACACCAGATGCTCCCAAGGGCTCCTTCTTATTCTGACATCACTGTGACAGTCACTGTGCTAGGATGAGCGCTCAAGAACACCCTGGCTGCGTTCATGATGCCGTAAAATATAGGACACCAAATCTAGGATGTACAGTCAATTTTAGGGAAATGCGCCCCATGATAAACAATTCCATATCTCTTTGGCACAAGATTGCCCATTTTTCTACAAATTAAAAAAGAGTCATTTCAAAAATTCCTGGCTTTGAAAAAACAGACCCTAAAAGTCTTCAAAGATATGTGAACAAAAATCTTGCCAAGGAAACCTTGTGAAAACCAAAAGCCCTAATGACCTGCTCCTACGTTTGGATTTGTTTCAGAAAAAAATATAGAGGGAATTACAGAGAAACCACTCAAAACTATACCACAGAACACAATTCTAAGATCTACAGGAGTCAGAACACTATAATTTGTCATCAGTTTATTTGAGTGACTATCATGGAACTCTGATATGTATTGCTTTCTCATAGAATTCAGGGCATTTTATATCATATCATATCATGTATTTATTTAATTTTTACTTTTTGGCTATACCACATGGCATGAGGGTCTTAGCTCCCCATCCAGGGATCTAATGTGGTTAGATCTAACCCTGCAGTGGAAGCACAGAGTCTTAACCACTGGACCGACAGGGACATTCCTATATTACATCATTTAGAGTGCTTTAAAGATGATTTATTCATCAAATGCACATTCCGTATCTATTAGGTACCATGTAGTCCATTAGGCATTTGAGTTTCAGTGGTGATTAAAACAAGGTTTTGTGTGCTAAAATGAAAAAACTTACTCAATTCTTATTCAGTTCTTTGAATGGTGGGGCCCTTGTACAGAAATCTAATTTTTCCTATGATGGTGTTTCTAAAGGAAGATCCTATTGAACTAATATCATAGAGATTATGACCAACTTTATGGCCATGCAACTTGCTGTCAGTACACACAGATGTGGAAAGAGTGATATTTGTTTAATCAGTTGCCTTATTCGTCTTCAAATGTTCATTTGGAGCCAATATTTTTAAAGATTAGAAATGGGGTGAAAGAAACGATTTCCTAAGCTCTCTGCAAAGACAGTGTTCCAGCCCTGCCTGATGAGGGACGCCAAAGAAACGGGCCTGCATTTAGGAGGCTGGCTGCTTTACTGAACACATTAAGAGAGGAAATTATTTAGAGGGTCTCAACATGCACTCTGTTCTGAGATGGTTGCTCTGATTGAAATCATTATGGGTAATTTCAGCAAAACCAATATTGTAATTATTTGTAAATGTTGGTTTGCAATTCAGCAGCAATCGGCAGGTGGCTCTGAGAAAACCCCTGGGGTTAATTATACCCTCTGAGTTTAGCTTTAACCATGAGTCAAATTTTTTCCCCCAAATATTTTACGTAAAGACTAAAACAGCGGTGTTTGTAAAAATAAACCTTGTCAATAACAAACATAAAATATCAGGCAGTTCTGGTATTTTCTAGAAGAATGCAAATCATGTATGCAAGGGAAAAAAAAATAAAACAAAAAAGAATGTACCAGAGAGACCACATACAGTCAAAAATATTACTGGCAGGTCCTATAAATTCCCCTTAGAAACCATAATTGAGATGTGTATTTCTGGCCATGCAGATTGTAGGTTCTTCTTTATAATTACGGTGCTACTGGGCCCTAAAATCAGAGTCAGCTTCATGTCTTTCCCCGAGTCAGCAGAAGCCCTGGGATCAGCAAACTACTGCTGGATAGCTGAATCCCACAACAAAAATTCTAGCAAGCCCAGGGCCTCTGAACAGCAATTGTAAATTCTGGAAGGAAAACAATATTCTACTTCTCACTCAAAGAGCTCAAGAACCTAGAGTTGTACGTTCTGAATGAAATGCTAATTGGCTGACCGGGCTCCCTGAGTCAGGCTGGACCTGGGTTCTCTCTTCACCCCTCAGACCCCCACAGGGGCTTCTGAGAAAACCCAAAGATGGGCATAAGGCCTGCATGAGAATCTTTTACTATCAAAGAAGATTGCCTGGCATTAAAAATACCGTTTTCTCTGTTTATCCTAATGCCTGTTCCCCCTTTCTGATTGTTTCTTATATGTGATTTTAAACAGTTGGTTTTAAGAAGTCCAAAATGTATGATGCAGCTGATTTGATGTGATGCCTATTTGATTTTTTCAACTCAGGAATATTCAAAATTACACCAAGAGGTCAGAAGTTTGAATGGGCCTTAGCGGGATCAGCAAATTATCAAAGGGAATCAGGATTAATTATTAGACCACTAATTCTCCTTCCTCAGACCAACCTCTTAGCCCTAATGTCAAACAGATCAATGTGATCTATGCCACACACAATTCTGGAGCCTCAAAATCTCCCTGATGGCAGCAGACCTGGCCATTCTATTCAGAGGTGGTTTTCTTACACCCAAAGAGCAGCTGGCAGCGCATGGGTTGGCATCGATTTGTCTCAAGCACTGCTCCCCCAAATCAGGCCTTCGGAGGAAAGCATTCTTTTTCTCCTGAACACTTTTCTCCTAATTGTCAGGGATTCGCTGCGCTATTGTGACCTGGCCCTGTGTCATCCTGGTCCCTGGCCCTGAGGAGTGCTGGGGTACAGAACGAGTGGGCATGGGTGTGGCCAGCTCCCTCGTTTCTACAGAGAAAAGATGTTTGGCTCTCTGCGGCCATGCTCACAGAGGCACCCAGTCCACAGAGCTCTCCAGCGTGAGTTTTCTCAGGAATTGTGAATGAGCGC